TGCTTTGAAGGAAATTTCGCTTAGCTAACACAGGGTTACCAAACTGACGAAACTTTAACAGCTGGTTTTTTGTCGAAAAAAAAGTTGTACAAAAGAATTGTGCACAAATAGTTATGAGATGGGCACACCATTGTCTGTTAAAGTGACTCAAAAATACACTTATTCAACTCACTCCTCGCTGCAAACAACTGTTTCCAACTCTTTTCCAACACACGGATGGCCGCCATTAATCGGTGGAGGTGAAGTGCATGTTCTGGTACGAAAACGATGACATGATGGTGAACATGGAGACCATTCGGACCACTTTGACCATCGTCCATTCAATCGACACGTGAGATTGCATGATCGAAATTCCTGCAATTCTAACTAAAATTTGGAAAAAAAGAGCCAAAAACAAACTTCTGCCCAAAGTCACATGCCTCCTCTTCCCCAGCGCAATAATCACCGCCATTTAAAGGTGCTGGATTATTGCATGTACGAGTTCGTCTCAGTTTCGGGATCACCTCTGAACTTGCATCATTTTCGAGGGCATGGCGTAAAGCCATACAATCGGCAGTACAAGTACCCGACCACGATGACCACGCTGACCAACCACCATTCACTGAAAGAATTTACCCAATAAGGTAAGGTAAGTGAGAACAAAAAGAAAGTTTTTTGAAACCCTCAATGTGAAGATTCCCTATGACGTAGGTTCGATAAATAATTTAGCGTCATATAAACAACACATGTTTGGAAGGCAGCCAGCTTAGGTCAAGTAGACATTAGAGCTGTTGTTGTGATTAGCTAACGAACAGGTCATTCGCAATACACACTTGGATCATGTATATCGGTGAGAGAGCCAAATATAACCTCGTACAGATTTCTTACTTAAAAACTTATATTCTGCCCAATATTATTTTTTTTAAATAGTTGACTGTACCTAATCGTTAGGGTGAACTTTTTTAAAAAAAGCTCACATTGGAAAAAAAACAAAAAACAGCAATGATCGAAAGGCACTTAAAGAAAACCAATATTTCAAATCGAAATCATTGTTATTCACCAACAGTGACATATAGGTTGGAATTCCGGAATGAATTCCATCTTGATTTAGCTGAACTATATATTACATATTGCCCACATTTTGCTACACCCAAATACAAAACTTTTGCCTTAGAGTGTTTCAGTAAAAACTGAAAGGACAACCTATATATACTCGTCCAAAACTTATTTTCTTACTTAACATTTCTAGATTTCCATTTCCAGAGCTTACGAGATATTTCCAGAGATATTAGCAGGCTCGAAAATTACGTTTGGAATGAATCCAACGTCTTTTTTTCTTTTTAAAAATAGTTAAGAAACTTTTCTGCCAATGA